ATCTTGGCTTTCCTTCCTGTTCTGCTCCGAAATCACTGCAGCAATCTGCCCTTTCATCTGGAAGGGATGGGTTTGCTGGGAGAAGAAAACTCTGTGCTGGAAACGGAGGATGAAGCAGGAGACCCTAATCCTTAAAACCTGGGATTATGCTACCTTAAATGGCAAAGGGACTTTGCAGATGTGATTAAATTAAGGATCTTGAGATGGGAAGATTATCTGGGATTATCTAGGTGAGCCCAATTAACCACAAGGATCCTTTTAAGAGGGAGACAGCAGGGTCCAAGTTAGAGAAGGGGATGTGACATCCGAAGTCGTGATCAGAATAATGTGGTTAATGAATGAGTCAAAGAATGCAGGTGGCCTCTAGAAGTGGGGAATGGCAAGGAATGGAGTCTCCTCTAAAGGCTCCAGAATGACCTCCTGACTGATTTTAGACCTCTGACATCCAGAACTGTTAAATTAATGTTGCTTTAAGACACTAAATTTGTGGAAATCTGTACAGCAGCAAGAGGAGACTAATATAAGCTATAGCCATGATTGTAAATGCCTTAGAATCAATCAAGGAAGCACTCACCCATAGCAGAAGGTAAGTAGCAGGTGACAAGGGAAACATCTAGGGAGAAGCAGGAAGCTCTGGAGGAGTGTGGGGAGAAGTAGAGTCCCCTGGAGAACAGGGCCTGGGCTCTGAGTTTGAGGTAGGCTGAATTCTCATCAGATGATTCACATTAGCTATTTCTGTGTTGCATGTTGGTCAAGGGCCTGACTTGGGGATGAAGGTCCAAAAGCATGGACTAAAGGGACTAAAGGCTAAAGGGATGGGAGTTGAAGAACCGAGGGTTTGGAGTCAGGAAACCTGAATTTTCCCCTCCAAATTCATGAGCTCCAATTTTGTTGCACTAACTTTTCAGGCAAAGATCTGAGATAACAGTAGGGTGACTAACCATTCTGGTTTGCACAGGACTGAAGGGCATTTTAAAACCCAGTCCTAGACAAACTGGGATGAGTTGGTCATCTTAGAGCTTATGGTATAAAGGAGTCTCAGAATAGGGAAGGGGTTACAGTGCAAAAGTGCAAAACGCAAAAATGTACAGCATCCAACACATACTGCTCTGGGGAATAAACCATGACCCTCTGGTGCATAGCCGTATACTCTAACAATACTACAAATCTTATGTGTCTGGTTTCATGTTCTCAATTTGCTGCAAACTCCTTAGACTCCACAATGGGACATGTCTGTTTGGGCCATCATGAAGCAGGCAGGTAATCTCAATGGGGTCTGTGTGTGTCAGAAACAGATCTATCAACTAAGAAGCTGCCTGCCGCATACTGGTTGCTCTGGGAGATACAGGAAAGTACCCGATGCCTGTCTCTGCTTTGGAGAGTAAGCCAAATTCAGCTTCTGCTCCTCCCCAGCTCGACAGACTCTTCTCCCCCAACCCTAGGCTCTTGGCCATTTGTTTAATGGCGAGAGAGCCTAGTGAAGGCAGTCTAATTCCCAAATTGAATCCTGGCCATCCTCTTACTAGTAGCATGATCCCAAGCAAGTGTTTTGGCTTTGCCAAGCCTGTGTATTTACCCTCCCAGATGGGGGATACTAGGTTTTCCTACATACAGGGAAAAATGAGAGCACAGCTGTTTGATTTTAGCAGGGGCACTAGCATCATGTTTCCAAACTGCAGATTACCCCACCTTTCTTCCCCTTTCCCACCCTGAGTGCTGAGGGATGTATGTGCTTCTTGTAGAAGGAAGCAGGATTCTGGGGTAGAGTGTGGTGAGAACAGCTAAAGGGAAGGCTGTGGGACCAAGGCAAGCTTTGGAATCACCTGGGGCTTTAACTTCCAGTAGGAACTGGGGAGCGGTGAATAATGGGGCTTTCCACAGTATCTGATAGGTTGCTGCAGAGAATCCTGTACCCTAGGCATTGACATCTCATGCTTCATGGCTCTCCCTCAAGCTGTCTTATTCTCCCACAAAACACAGCAGGTAGAGTTATCCCATTCAAATTAGATCAGGCCTCTCTCCAAACCCCGCAATGGCTTCTCAACTCAAGGTCATAAAGCATTAGTCCCCACCCAACCCCACAAACCTCCCGCCAGAAACCCCACTCTTCCTACTCTGCCCTTTGTGTACTCCCTCTAGATGCTCTGGTCTCCTGGTTCTTCCTCAGACACATCAAATACTCTCCCCTTCCTGGGCTTCGCAATAGTGTTCTTTTTGCTTGAAATGCTCTCCCCTACCAGCCATAGTACTCATGCTTCTGTTACTTCAGGAGGGATTTTTGAAGATTCAAAGGCCCTTCTCCAGGAGGCCTGCCGATGCCATCTTCTCTGAAGCCTTCTTCTGCTCCCTCATACCTCATTCCCCACTTTCCTCCTTTTCTCTCTAGCCCATATCATCTAGCCTATCACTGGTTTTACCTATTGGTCACCTGACTCCCACTTGAGAATGGAGGTTCCACGAAGGAATTCATTTGCTGCAGTATCCCCAAGGGCTGACAACAGGGCCTGACTTCATGGGCTGTCAAAATGTGTTGAGTTGGTAGAGTGCTTGCCTTGCATGCACAAGGCCCTGGGTTCAATCCCCAGCACCACACACACACACAGTGTTGAGTGAATGGGAGACTTGGGCATGTGTAAATGTCAACAGAAGAGGTCAGGGGAGATGGAATAATCGACAGGTTGTGTTAACTGAAGACCAGAGATGATGAGAACCTAAGCCTGGGGGACCTAGGGAACTGGTCCAAGCCAGGAGGGGACAGATGTGAAGGAAAGTTTGTAAGTGTGAACTGAGAGGTGGTGGTGGTGTGGAGGGGTCAACTTACTGGCTTCTATTTTCTGTGGAGGAGGAAGTGAGATACAGAGATGGGGGAGAGAGGAGTCAGAGTCCTGCACAGAGGTGCAGAAAACCTAAAACTGTCGTGGTGGGGAGCTGACCAGGGAAACTGCTGAGCAGCTCTGAGAGCCCAGGTGACTTAGTGACTAGAATAATAATGGTATTCATGTGCTTCCTGGTGCTTTTCTCCAGCAGCATCAGTGTTCAGGAGCAGGAAATGAAGGATTCATCCAGAGCTGAGGTTTTACCAGGCAGCTCTGATGAAGAGACAGGAAGGCCAGAGTTAAGGTTACTTGGCAAGATTGTTGCTGAAATGCTGGACCAAAGCATCCATGCTGGATTTATAGGGAAGAGAAGAATGGACAAGACTGGGAGACTGAAAGAGAGAAGAGGCGGGGTCCTAAAAGATCTCTCCTGGGAGAAACTGCTAAGAGCAGGTTGCAGCAATTAAGAGTTCTGGGAGGAGGAACACTGACAAGATCCCAGGTGCATATGGAATAGGAGGTTGTGGTGGAGTGAGGGTCTTATGTCATAAGGGCTACCCTTGTGAGGCTTAGGATCAAAAGCAAGACCCAAGACACAGTCTTAAGAAATGCCTAAGTTAGGCTGGGGTTTTGGCTCAGCGGTAGAGCGCTCGCCTCGCACGTGCAAGACCCTGGGCTCGATCCTCAGCACCACATAAAAATAAATAAGTGAAATAAAGGTATTGTGTCCAACTACAACTAAAAAATAATAAATATTTAAAAAAAGAAAAAAAAGATGCCTAAGTTCTTAAGAAACAAGGGAGCCTGGCTGGAGGTCAGGAGATGACATATGAGAAAAGAGAAGAGATCAGTGGGTGACAAGAACCTTAAAGGAAAAAGGTTTTACAAGGTAATGCAAGAAAAGTGGTTTAGAAGCTGCAGGGAATAAGGGAGAACACATATGGGAATAGACCCTTCCACTGTGGATAGAGAACCCAAAATTTGGGCCCATCCCTGGATGGTACCCTGCTCTTGGCAGGCCAACAGCAGCGTCCACTTTTGGAATGAAAATCTACCCTCTGGGGTTGCCTGTTGAAAAGATACATCTCATAGTTCTGGCCAAGGAACAGGTGAATAATGGAGGGAAAGAGAAAGTGGAAACTGGTGCCCACATTTCCTTTCTTCTTGTCTCGGATACAGAAATGATATGTGGAGCTGAGGCAATCATATTATAGTCATGGGGCAAAAGCCAGTGCTGTTAAGTGTGGAGAAGGCAGGCAGAGAGGCCTGGGTCCCTGATGGAATACTGAGAAGCTAAACCTCTTGTAATATAAGAAAAATAATTCCCAATTTACTTAACTACATTATTGTGGGTCTATGTTTAATTATAGTTAGACACATTTCTAAACTATATAGGGACTTAGTGAATCTTTTACTTACAGAGGCCCGGAGGAAAGCGTTACTCAGCAAGGGGAGCTGCTGTCTCCTAAGCCAAACGGTAGGAGATAAGACCAATGTCCCAAGCCTGGCCCTTAGCCCAAGTTCTGCCAAGGAGGAACCATTTGACCAAGAAAAGGAAAAGCTGATCTGGCCAAGTCATTGAACCTGGCTCTGTAAGTCAAGTGCTCCCTCAAAAAGATCAGAACTGGCTCTGAATCATCGTGGTGGTCAGTAATGTAAGTTTATTTAACACTGCTATTGCCCTTTTATGCCAATCTCTGCATCTGCGAGAGCTACTTAAACTGCCTTAAACAAACTAATGGTTGGATCTGGTTAGTTTCTGCGGCTTCCCTGCAGTGGGGACAGTAGAAAAGTGAGGTATGAAATGGGTGTCTCCATCCTTGCAAATGCAAAACTAAAAAGGACACAACAGTGATGGAGAAGCCAAATAAAGATTTAAAAATCAAAGCAGTTTTATCCCTAGGCCGCGCCCACACGGGCTCTCAGCGCTTGTCACCATTGGTATCCTCTCACCCCGCCCGGGAGGGGCGGTCTGCATCTTCCAGGCAGGTGATGACCAGAACCGGTGCCAGATCCTCTGCCAGCCAGGGACCGGGACTCTGCAAGGTGCCCTGACTATCCAAGGCCCACACCCCACGCCAGCGCGCCTGGGCCCGGCCTCCACCTGCGCCGCGCGGGCCTGGCTGCCCGTCCGGTTCCCCCGGCCCCCTCCCGGTCGCAGCCCCCGCCCCGGCCCGCACTCACGCTCCACGTCGTGCAGCTTGGCCCGCTCCTCCTCCAGCTTGCCCTTGAGGCTCTCGGCCTCGCTTTTCAGCGACGCCAGCGTCTCGTTCTCCTGCAGCCCGTCGGTTGCCATCTTTGCGCGCGGACACGGCCGGGAGGGAAGCGCCGAGCGGGGATGCGGTGAGCGGGCGGAGAGGCCGGGCGGGCGGGCGGGCGCGGAGCCGCGGCGGGCGCAGCTCCAGCCGCGGTGACCCCCGAGCGCCGCCCCGCGGCCCCGCCCTCAGGCGATGACGCGGGCAGCCGCGGGCCGGCTGCGGCGCAGACCCCCTCCCTCCGCCCGCCTTGCCCGCGCCCCTCCGCCCGCCTTGCCCGCGCCCCTCCGCAACCCCACACTTGTGCCCCGCGGGGTGCCGCGTTAGCGCTGCTGCGCCCACAGCACCCGGGAGAAGCGAGCGAGGGTCGTGCCCATCTTAGGGGGGTGGGAACTGAGGCTCAGAGATGAAACGTGACTTGCGGGAGACCTACGCGGGGTGAAAGGTCACGTTGGGGTTGCAACTCTGGACTCCCAGCTCCTGAGGGGGGCCTTGGTGAAGTCCCAGAAATACCGTCCTTTCCCTCCACCACTCCCAGGGACTTGATTCGCATCTGGTGGCTCCTGCTTGCAGAGAGGACAAAAAAGGAGAGGGCCAGGAGGCCTGGACCACGCCTCTGATACCTGCTCTGACACTGGCTAATTCTGCAGCTTCCACCCCAACAAATCTTTTTTGTTGACTCAAATATACAAAAACATAACTAGTTCTGGCTGCTGAGAAGCTCAGTGGTCTCTGAGACTTTAGGAGGCCACCCTTAGTTTTGCTTTTCCTTTCTTCATTGGGCAATCTGGCTCCTGTCCTGGGGGCCGCGGAAGGGGTGGTGTGGGTCAGAGGGCCTCTGTGCACAGGCTCAGCCACGGGGCTTCTAAGCTCCTGTTCAGCCATTTGGCTAAGGGTGACTTTTGAGAACTCTTCCTCACCCCTAGAATGAAGGGTTGCTACATTTTTCTTAAGAACTCGAATTAGTGTCTTAGGGACAACACATCACCCTCTCTCTCCCAGGCATACTTCGCTGTCCTAAGGGCTTTAATGAATAACTCGCTTGATGCTCCCAAGAGTCACCCTGAATGGGCACTATTATCTCCATTTTACAGATGTGGAAACTAGGCACAGAAAAGCTCAGTAATCACTCAGGGGTCACACTGCCAGAAAAAGGGAAAGGCAGGATTTGGACCCAGCTAGTTTGGCTACATCAACAAGCCTTTGGACTTGGGTGTGGACCATCCAGCCCAAGCCTCCTTTCTTCCCCTTCTCTGAGGCATTCTTAGGTGAAGAATGGGAAGGAAAATCAAGGTTATATATCCTGGAGAGGACAAATGGGGTGTGAAAACTCTTAGCAGGCTTCTCCATACATAGCAGATGATCATTAACTGCCAATTCCCTTCTCCCTGCCAATCAATATAGGTTTATTCATCATTTATCCTTAGCATTTAGCATAATACTGGCATATGGTTGGTATTCAGTTAATGCTAGTTTATCGAGTGGGTATATAAAACAATATATAAAATATAAATGTATATATATATAAATTATGTCATTAAAATAAGTACATAAATTATGTAAATAGAGAAATGTTTTTATACTATTCAAGTATACATTTAAAATAAAAATAAAATGTGAAGGCAAAATATTACATCTGTTTTTGATCTGAAGTGCCACAAGATTAAAGGCTGGCTTAGGCTCTGTCTACATTGAACTTCCTGGGAGCAAGTGTTGGCTCTGAGATGTGGCCTGGAGCCATCTACTTCTCAGTCTCAGGCTCCTCTTCTGTAATGGGGTAGCACCTTCTTTAGACAATGTAGAGCATTCAGAGCAACGAGTGGCACACACCTTAATATTGTTGAAGCTGTTTGATACATTTGAATAATCCACAGGAAGTAACTTAAATGGGACAATAGATTATGGGGTGCACTTCCCACAGGGCTATCTCAGGAGGCCCTGGCAAGGAAGCATCGTTTCCTAGTATCCTTAGACTGATGCTTCTGAACCCACTCTGGGTTGTGTGTAGCCCAGGGTCTCCCTGCCTGTGGAGACTGTGGTGGGTGGCACTTGACACTGGTGTTCTCTGTAAAATAAACCCCAAATAACCTCCAGTCTGGAGAATCTACCATCTAGAGATGAAGTCATGATTGCAAAATGCCTTCCTGTACTTTGGTGTTAAATCCCTTTTAGAAGTGGGGAACCTGGAGATCAGAAAAGTTGGGGTCAGCTACATTTCAGCTGCGGTTGAGTTATAGAGTCACCCCTGTTCATGAAAAGGGTCCTTTGAGGGGCTATGTCTACATGATCTAGAACATCTGGATGAAAAGCCAACTGTCAGTCACTGGATGTCTCCTCAGCCATAGGAATATTTGGGAACCCCCAAGTGCTTGTGGTGGACATGGCTGGTGCTTGACCCCTGGAAGAGTCCTGGCAGGGCCTCTGAGCTGGGAAGAAACTCCCATGCAACAGAGGGATTCTGGGCTCCTCTGCCCACAGAGGAAGTTGTTTAAAACCAGAAGACTTAGATTAATCAACAGAAGGAGGGTAGCCCCCCCACCCCAAGCAGGTTTGTTTTAAGAACTGAATGCCCGCAGTTTTACAATTTGCAGAGCCAAGTTTAGAAAAAAAATGTACTACAGGTAGAGTCCCATTACATGGAGCCCCAAGAGACATCAGAATTACCATGTTGTACCAAAATCTTTTTATGTTTACTTGCCATTTGCTTTTTGGGAGTGATTTTTTCCCCATATTTTTTATTGGTGCATTATAGTTGTACATAATGGTAGGATCCATTTTTACATATTTGTACATGCACACAACAGCAGTTTAGCCATGTAATTTGGCCAATATCATTTCCTGTATCCCCCTCCGCTTTCTGTACTAATCTTTGGAAGTGAATTCTGAAATATTTATTTATTAATTGTAGTTGGACACAATACCTTTGTTTTATTTATTTATTTTTTTAATGTGGTGCTGAGGATTGAACCCAGGGCCTCACATGTGCTAGATGAGTGCTTTACCACTGAGCCACAACCCCAACTGCCCCCCCCCCACCCCAAGTAAATTCTCTTTTCAACTGAGTAGAAGCCAGGCATGGTGGTGCATGCCTGCAATCCCAGCAGTTTATGAAATTGAGATAGGAGAATCATGAGTTCAAAGCCAGCCTCAGCAATGGAGAGTTGCTAAGCAACATGGTGAGACCCTGTCTCTAAATAAAATACAAAATAGGGCTGGGGATGGGGCTCAGTGGTCCAGGCCCCTGAGTTCAATCCCTGGTCAAAAAAACAAATTCTTCTATTCTATTCTGTTTCCTCTGCCCTCCCCGCCACCCTCCCCTCCACATACATACATTTTTAAAAAATTGGTTGATACTGTGGGAATTTCCAGTTGGGGTTTTCTGGATGAGTGCTTTACCACTTTTCACCAGGTGGGGGCTGTGCTCAGCCACACTATTTAGCACAGTTTTGCAAATCCTCTGAGACATGACTAATGCCTAGAATTTTAGCCATGCTGTTGGACATGTTTACTGCAAGATCTGAAATGTGTGCGTTAACCACCTCTGGTGAGGACATGATTTTTGTATACTTTGAAAAACAGCTCACATATTTATTGAATGTTTTTTGTACTGGGGCTATTGAAACACCTTATTAAATGAATTCACTGGAGCTTCACAGATTCCCCCTGATGCAGATGATAATAATGTTCTTATTTTCCACATGGGAAAATGGGCTTCAGGAGAGTAATAAGAACCGGTGGCACCTCCACCTAGAACACAAGCAGGACTTGCACCTTATAGTCAAACACCAAAGTCAACACCCTGTGCCCCTGTACCACACTGCCTCACAAGCCTGGGCATGTGTTCTGTAACTGATTCTATGGCAACTAATTTTTCACAGGACTGTCATTAAATATTGTTCTAAGACAGGTAATTCACAGTTAAAAAAATAGTAGCACTTACAAGTTCTACACATATTGAGCAGTAGCTGAGTTGTTGTGATTTCTTGAAAACTGTTCTCAGAGCTCTTTGTTTGAAACATTTGTCACAGGAGCCAAATACATTAACTAAGAAGGTCTGATCACACATCTTTCACCCAAGGTGTTGCTGAAAGGAAATAAGAAAGGGCAGGTATGAGAGAAAACCAGTGCTTTTAGATTTGTAGCACCTCTGCTTCCTTCTATGATGGTAGCTGCTTAGACCTATACATGTGGGATAAATCACAGCAGTTAATTTGTAACCTTTGATTTATTGCAATATACTGGGTCAACACCTGAGAAAGCACTAGGGGGTAGTGTTCTTTTTAAGTCAACATGTCTAACTGGTTGTTTTGGTGACTTGCGGAACCCTCTCAGTGGATCTTTGCAGCACAATATCAGTTCTGTGGGGTTTCAGGATGGAAAACATTGTTGTAATGAATACTAAATCTAAAATTTTAAAAACCATTCCTCCTCTCTGGGTGAACTTTTGGAGTAAAGACAAGAATCAGGAAATGGTGGAGTCTGATCCCAACCAAAAATATGAGGCTGAGTTAGTGTGGAGTTGGTTCCCTGCAAAGCAGGCATCCCATTTATTAACAGGAAGTCAAACATCTAGGTCCTAATTTGCACTCAAAAGTCAAGATGGGCCCAGGCCACCCAAGGGAGGGCATCCTTGGGGAAATAACACCATCTAGTGGCTGAAGATACAGGTTCTGGCTGCCCAGATCCCAGCCCTCTGGTCAGGTGAGTTCCTTGACCTCTCTGAAGCTTTTATTTGCTAGTCTACCAAATAGAAATCTCAAAATCTTTCCTCATAGGATTGTTAGGTGAATTTTAAGATGCAATGCTTCAAGCACTATCTCAAGGTCAGAAATATAGGGGGTGCACCATTGACGTCATGCTAACCTGTGAGTGGTAGCAACAGTAACAGCAGCAGCTTTGTGGAAAAAAAAAATGCAAAGAAAAGAGCAAAAAGAGCCTATGGCAAGACCTGATGAAGGCCCAGACCAAAGCAAGGCAGTGGGGTGGCCTTAGACCATGCTTAGAAAGGAGCAGGAGAGGGGGCTTGGCGGGAGAGAGGGAAGAAGAGAGGAGATATCTACAATATGGCCTAGGTTTCTTTTGGGAATTCTGAAGGACTGTGATGTATTGTTGGAAATAGGACAAGGCAGTTAAGTGGGGGAGTTTAGTAGGTGATCCAAAGAGGGTTAAGATTCAAAGAAATGACTCCTCGAACAGATATCTGGGGGCTCTGATCTGAGACTTTCTACACAGCCACACTTGAAAGGGATGTTTTTGTGGGGGAGACGACAATGGGTACACTTCTGAGGGAAATGTCTGTAGAGGTCACCATGGGGCTGGAGAAGGAATGGGAGCTCATGAGTTGGGGGAACTTCCATAACAAAGGGGCAGGGAGGGGCACAGCACTTGAGCACTCTAGGTGACAGAGGAGTAAAGGGCAGTCCCTTAGAGAGCGAAATTACAAGGCAATCACTTACTGACTGCCACAGAGCACTTGGCCCTAGCCTCTCACAACTGCCCCAGGAGGGAGGGAGGCAGGACATCTGTGTCACAGCTAAGGAAATGTGGAGGGACTGCACAATGAGGTCAGTGATGAAGCCTGAGCCTGGATGTAGTTTTACTGCAGAGCCAGTGTGATCAAGTTGTTTTGTTTTGTCGTGAAAGGAGAGTTTGCCCACCCTGGGGCTCAGTAAACATCGTCTCCCACTCCCCTACCCTGCAAAGGCTGCCGGTTTTAATGTCAGGCTGAGGACACCCAGTAATAGCATTAGAACAGGCTTTAAGCAGGAGAGCAACATCATTCCAGTGGATTATTCCAGCATTTGTGCTTGCAGAAGTAGGTCAGAGTGAAATGGACAGCAGGGCAGCCAACAAGGTTAGGAGATTATTTCCATGTTACAGAGGAGAGGAAATGAACGTTGGGCAGAGCAGTAGCTACAGGAATGGAAGGCAAGAGCAGCCCAAGGGACTATAGGAAGAGGGAAGAGGAAGTGATGGGAGATTAGGAAAATAGAAGCAGAAAAAATCGCCAATGTTCTTATTGTGGGTAGAGACAACATTTTTCTTCTCTATGAATTTTAATTTTTTTCAAATTATAAAAACTACTTATAATATTCATTACAAATAATTAGGAAACTATTTACCTATATGGCCTACACCAGCAACTGACCTGTTAACACTTTGTTTTCTTCTAGTATCTTTATAAGCATATATGTGTACACTCCTTATATACTATTTTGAACTTCTAGATTTTGCTTAATATGTGTTTTCATCTTTGCATGTTATTCTTTCTTTCTTTCTTTGGTCCTAGGGATCAAACTGAGGGCTTTTGGTGTGCTAGGCAAGCACTCTACCACTGAGCTACACCCCCAGTCTGGGAACACCAGTTTTTAATGGAGATCTTAAGTTTTGAGTCATTTCAGTCTTAAGTCATGTCTCATAGCTAGAATTCTAGGCCTGGGTGGTTAAAAAGGGGAATACTATAAAACAAATCCAAAGTGTTTTTAAACTACATATGTTACTCGTGTTCACTGTAAAAAGTCTGAAAAAAACTCAAAAAGGTTTAAGGAATTAATTACTTATAATCCTCACTGCCAGAGGGGCTCCTTTTCATATTTTGATATATATGAGGTAGATGTTTAAGATCATTGGGGGTCATACTGTTTATGTATATTGTTTATATTTCTATATCCTGATATTTTCATTTGGTATTTGTCATGAGCCATGTTTCATTTTAGTATGTTTCATTATACATATTGTCAATAATCCTTTTTAGGATGAGGGAATTTTTCACAACTAGGGCAAATACCTCAAAGAATATTTTGACAAAAAAAAGTAAAAAATGCTCCCATTTTCACTGAACTTAACTCTGTTAATACTTATAGATTTACCTTTTTTGGCAATAGCTTCAGTATTATTCTATACTATGGAGTGTCACAGTTTATTAAACCATCCTCCTATTGTTGGAGACATAGGGTATATTTCAGTTTTTACTTTTAATGTAGTACTCCATTAACTCAATTAAAAATGGGCCAAGGACCCCTCCTGCATTGCTGGTAATAATGTAAAGTGGGGTAGCCATTCTATAATAGTGCAACTGTGGAAAAAAAATTGTCATTACTCAGAAAGTTAAATATAGAATTGCTACTATATGGCCCAGCAGCCCAATTCTAGGTATATACCCAAGATAAGTGGGGAGAATTATTACTAGCTAAAAAGTAGAAATTACTCAAATATCCACCAGCTAAAGAATGGATAAATATGTAGTATATCCATATAGCAGATTGTTATTTAGCAATAAAGAAGAATGAAATCTGGTGTGACATTGATGAATGTGGAAAATATTATTTTGTGGGAACTGTCTGAAAAAAGACCACATAAGATTCCGTTTATATGAAAGGTCCAGGATAGGCAAAGCCATAGAGACAGAGAATAGCTTAGTGGTTGTTGAGGGCAGGGGAGGGAGGGGTGGAACTGGGAGTAACTTGCTTGATGGCTGTGCAGTTTCTTTTTGAGGTGATGGAAATGCTCTGGAATCAGTGGTGAAGATTGCACATCCTTGTACATATGCTGAACACCACTGAATCTTTTTAAAATGGTGAGTTTTAAGTCATGTGCTTTATATCTCAATAAAAATTATTTTAAAAATGGGCAAAAGACTTGAACAGGCACTCCTCCAATAGTCAAAAATATAAAAATGTGCTGGACATCATTGGTCATCAAAGAAATGCAAATTAAAACCACAGTGTGATACTACTGCTTACATATTGGAATTCTTAAAATAAAAAATATGGCCATATAGAGTAGGGGCAAGAATGTGAGGAATTTAACTGTCTTTCGGAACGCAAACTGGTACAATTACTTTGAAAACTGGTTGGTTGGACCTACTAGTGTAAACATGCATAAAGTCTGTGATTCAGCAGTTCTACTCTTGGGTATGTAGTCAACAGAAATGAATACTTATTTCCTTAAGAAAATATGAATAAGAATGCTCTAATACCTTTATTCATACAAGTCCCAAGCTAGAAAAATTAAAATGTTCACCAGTGGTAGGCCAGAAAAATAGTGATCTGTTCAGACAACAAAAAAATGAATAAACTGTTGATACATGCAACAACGTGGATGTATCTCGCAGGCTCCCTACAGCTATAACACGTTCAGTGTCAAAAACCTTCTATCATATACCACAATTTCTTTATCCATTCATCTGTTGTTGCACACCTAGGTTGGTTCCATAGCTAAGCTATTGCAAATTGTGCTTCTATAAATATTGATGTGGCTGCATCATTGTAGTATGCTGATTTTAAATCCTTTGGATATATGCTGAGGAGTGGGATAACCAGGTCAAATAGGGATTCCATTCCTAATTTCAGAGGGATTGCACCAATTTGCAGTTCCACCAATAATGTATGAATTCATGCAACTTGAAGAAAATGAGAATATACAACAACAAATAAACTATAACCCAGGTTCCCACTATATAGGAAGCCCCTGGGAACCTTGGTCTGTATGCACCTGGACACCCTGCTTAGCTTTTAAGAAAACCTGAGTACATTCACCCGTGCTTACCTTCCACAGAGTCACACTTGGAACCGACCAGCCAACAACCAACTGACCAACTAGGCAGGAAGGTGAGAAGTTTCTGCTGCAGTGTGAAGGTGTGAAAGCCACTGGCCCCTAATCTCCTTATGTAGGTATTATGCTCAGCCTTCTTGTTCCTCTCCACCTACATGACCATGCTCACTCTTGGGCATTCACTTACCCCTTGAACCTCCTGGCCATTCACATGGCTAGGATCTCAGTTAATCCCTGAGGACCACTTCATGGGCCCAATTCTTTGCCCTCTGTAGGATGCAAACTTTGGCATGTTTGATCCCATGAATCTGCATCCACTCCACTGAGCAACCCCGGGACTGCATGTGGTCAGCATCTCTCAGTGTTACCTCCACCCCCTTCAGCTGTTCAGAACTGATCAAGATTATATGGTGAGTGCTTTCCCCCTCCCCTTCTGTACCAGTAAACTCATGGGCCTCTACAGGTCTCCTTGTCTCCAAGCAAGATCTGTTCTTTCTCATGACTGACTGCTCT